CAGAAGAAGAAACTTGATGAAATCTCCCACAAATCTCTAAAGCTTTTTTTTAATTCTCTAAATCCGAGAACCCGGATCCGAATATGCCAATCGGGTGGGTCAAATCGTTACATTGCAAATCAAGAGCTTACGACGACGTTTATCATCATCACTCCAACAATGGTAAACTCTTGTTGCCAAGTTACAGCTGCAGAAAATCCGTTAAAGACGTCGTCGCTAATACCCGACCCGGATCCGGATCCGGATCCGTTTACAAAAGCCCAAAACCCGACCCAAATCGAAACCGTTTCCGTTCCTCCTCTTGTCGACCCGAATCAGAACCCAATTCTTATAACCCGACCCGACGAAGCGTATCCGTACGATCTTCGTCGGAATCCACGGCGGTTCCGGTGCTCACCGATCTCCCCGACGGCCATCCGTCGAGAAACGTCGTCGAGATTATATTCCAATCTAGCTGGAGCTCCGATGAGTTTCCGGGTCGGGTCGAAATGATTTTTAAAGTCGAAAACGGGTCTAAAGCTGTGACCCGGTTTGAGGAATACAGAGAGGCTGTGAAATCGAGATCGAGGAGGTTGAAATTGGATTCCGATGACGGAGGCGCGTGCGATGAAGACGCGAGGTGTTCGGCTGATGGGAACGAGACGATGAGATTTTATCCGATGGGTCCGATTCCGGGAGGGATTAACGGCGGCGCGTGGGTTTTTCCCGGAGGTAAAGGAAATGCGATTTGTACGTATTCGGGGAGCGGCGAAGCGCATGTTAGCACAGGAGGCGGAGGAGGGAGGAGAGCGATGTTGATTTGTAGAGTAATTGCGGGTCGGGTTGGGAAGAGAGGTGAATTCGGGTCGGATTCTGTAGCGGGTCAAGGTGGTGAGTTGATTGTCTTTGATGCTCGCGCGGTTTTGCCTTGTTTCCTAATCTTTTTCAGATTGTAAAATAAGACAAAAAAAGTTATAAAATAAATTAAAATTATATATTTGTATTTCGTTAATTCATTTGGATTACTTGGTAGATAAATCAAATTTTGTGTTGAGTTTGGTTTAAAAAAAACTAATAAAAATGAATAAGTTATATTTTTTGCATGAATTCAAGAAAATAATGTGATATCATGTACTCCATACTATTGAAATTTGGTTTTATCAAAATATCCACATGAAATCTGTATTATTAAAATTGACAAATTCGATAAATAAACTAATTCATTTACGTTTTCATCATTCATCTTTTTTTACAATTAAGATTTTGTAATTCAACGGACTCTAATACAAAGACGGACATGTTAGAACTACACTGCTTTCACACAATGCTATTTATATTTATATCGTATATCCGATTTAGGTTAATTAATTATGAACCGTTTTAATTTATATTAAATTATTATACCATATTCAAAATAGATATCCATTCAATTGAATTTTATTCTTCTTTGTCTTTTAAAATCACTATTAAATAAGGTTCATATATTCATTGACTGTGAATCAAAGAGACAAGCCACATGCAGATCATAGGTATTTCTGTCATGATTTATAAATATGTTGGCTCTTATGAACGGTTTGCATATTAAATTTTACTTACATAAAAGTATTTGATGTTTTTGATTGATTACAAAAATAATGTGAGTAATGAAGAAGATTTGGATACACAGTATTAGTGAGTGAAATGTGTGAACAAATGGTTAATTGTGATTCAGTTTGAAAGTGATCTAAATAAATGGTGCGGTGATAAATTGGAGAGAGAACAACTCTCGAGTGGTGTGAAGTTTATAATGCCCACTTTCTTGCTAACTGATCATACATTCTTGTTAAATCTTATTTTGGTCGAAGCATGAGGAAGCAACAAGGGGTAAACAAAAAATGAAAAAGATCATAAGTTTAGTGATTCAAACAGCCGTATTTGAGAATAATTGCCAATCAAATTATTACTTTCAACAATTTAGAACTACAAAAAATGAATGTGACAAGATTGTAAATCGATCATCTTAATTTGTGTTTCATAAACCCTTGGGTGTAGTTAATAAGTAAGTCCGAAACTAAATAGAAAACTATACAAATAACAATATGGAATATGTCTATATCTCAATAGAATGAACCGGATATTTTTATTTGGAAAAGATACTGCTTCAAACGTTGCAAAAATGAAACAAATAATTGACGATATACGTTTTTTCTTTTACATTTAATCGTGTAGTGTTTAATTTGCTTTATTCGTTTTGTCTGCTGCTATTCTTAATCCGTCACCATCGCTCTGAGTCAATCAAACATATAGATCTGAGTTCTACATAATGCAATTCAGTATTCCTAACATAAGTTAGTTATAGATTAATTTTACTTAATTTGTTGGTGAGGCTATTTTTGTTTAACTTTAAAAGGGTGACCAGAAAAAGATAATCATGATAATGAAAATTTGGTGGAAGAGTAATATACATTACAGTATGATGATCTATAATTACAATACCAAGTGGATATCCTAGATTCCTAGTAATAGTTTGAAAAACTAAATAATAGTTGATTTTTATCTAATAGTAATTATGTATACCTATAGATTGATATATCAAAAAACCAGATATTACATGTGGTACGTAGTATGTCAAGTGTTTCAGATAATTATTTTTAAATTTATAATTGCAGCAGCATTTGCTTTCAAGCAACAATTTGATACTTATAAATTATACTTAAACAATATATTAGTATATCATAAATACCACTTCCAATACTGTATTTCGTATATGGATTTACAAGTCATTGTAACTAAACACAGAAAAATGAATATCTCATGTTCATTTTTTATGAGAAATTTCAGAAAATGTCAATTTTCAAATGCCATTTTACAAAAATATCACACTTTTGAGATCTTTACAAAAATGTCACTTTTTCAAAATTATTTTTTTCTTTATATTATTTATGTTTGGGTTAATTATGTTCTATTAGGGTTTAGTTATGAGGGTTTAGGGGGGTTTAGGGGTCAAAACATTTTTTAGTATTTATAATTTTAAGATATAGGGTCTAAAAATCTATAATTAGTGGCATTTTTGCAAATGAACACCCCTAAATGACATTTTTGTAAATGTGCACATAAAAGGTGGTATTTTTGTAATTTTCCCATCTTTTATTGAGATATAAAATAAAAATTGTAAAAATGTCACTTTTGATGTGTACGTTTTTAAAAAATACCACTATAGATTTTTCATTTGCCAAAATACCACAAATTAAAGATTTTTAAACCTTAAATCTTAAAATTCTAAATCCTAAAAAATGTCTTGAACTCAAACAAGCCCTAAACTCTCAAAACTAAATCCTAATACAACATAGTTTACCCAAACATAAATGATATATTAATTAGATGACTTTGAAAAGTGGCATTTTTTCAAAAATTTTGAAAAAATTGTATTTCAAAAGTGAAATTTCTCAAAAACTCTCTACAATAAAATAAAA